AAGAAGGCAGTGCGGGGGAGGGGAGGAGGTGGAGGGATCTTAGCCATTCTGCAACTCCTGCCCATGCCCTCCCTGGCACCAGGCTCAGCCCCAGAACAAGGGGCATATACACTAGGATATGGATGACCGAAGAAGCCACTGGTGCTTCTACTGTGCTTGTTTAGCGTAGTTGTACTAGAGCATGCATAGGGCTGTCGGGGCTAGGGACAGAGCATGAGATGAGTGACCATCAGCTAGAATAAATACACGATGAGCTCTTGATAGGGACCGTGTCACACAGTCATCACAATGTCACAGAGCCACATGCTGTCCATGGGGAACAATTCTCCTGCATGGCTCCCATTCGCCTTCCTCTCTCTCCTTCCCTTGTTCTGTCTCCAAGCTGCCGCAAGGTTGGGCAACCATTTTTGCTGTCCGGCTGGTCCATAAGGCCTTGTGCACAGATCAGAGTGTACAAGGACACCACCAGAATACAGGACTGCCAGTGAGCGTTAACATCCAAATTGCTGGCACGTGAGTCTTAACCAGGGCTGTCTGTCCATACAGAGGGCAATCTACTAAAGCATATTGCTTGTGAGAGGTATATAAGTGTCCCTGGGCTAACATAGCTTCAAAGTCTTGCTGGGTTTCAGAATTTGTAGAGAAGGTGACCCACGTGCCTGGGTTAGATTCATCCACCTGTCCATATAGATGAGGGAGATATGTCTTTCCAGGAGCCCATAAGCCCTGGATTATCTTCCTACTCTGAACTTCTCTGCCTATGACCTCAACTGAACAGTCTGAGAATCAGCTTCCTTGTCTGTAAATTGGAACATTCATCCTTCCCTGTTAACTTTATAGGGCTGTTGTTAGAATATAGGTGATAATGGACATGAAAAAATTTTATATACTATAAAGTGTGGTAGGAATGTAAGCCACTTGCGCGTGATCATCTTTGCTTGGATGGGAATATTTGAAACTGGAGACCTGTCTCATCTCAAGCTGTCATCTTATAATGGAAGCATTGGCTTTGAGGCCAGAAACCTTTTAGTGTAAAGTCAGATTTGGCTAATTTCTGCTTGGATGATCTTGGGCAAACAGTCCACCTGTCTGAGACTCAACTTCCTTGTCTACAAAATGAGCACAGTAACAGTCACTTCACCTTGGGCAAGAAATTCACCTTTCTCTGGCCCTTTATTGCCTGTCTGTGAATGAGAATAGCAGTTAACTGATGGGCTTGTAGGAATTAGAGGCAGGTGTACAGGGCACCTGGCCCCTTTTCCCTATATAGTAATAAATAGCCTCTGTTTTGAATCCCTTGGTTTTCTCAGGCTATCTTTTCAAAACCAGGTTAATTCCCATGAACAAGCTCTCCATTCCGTTTAGGAGGGGAACAGATCCAAATCTAGGCTGTTTCACCTACACGGGTAAGTTTCTATACGGCACATTGCATGTCTTACCTCATCCATCCCGAGGAGCGCTTAACCAGGTCATTGACTTTTGTGGAGGAGAGACTCTCGGCTCAAATAGGTATGATTTTTCCATGATAGGCTCTTCGTTCATATCAGCCCTGTCCAAGCTCAAGAAGATGCTTTAACCTTCCTAATTCTGCAACACTTTAATATGATTCCCCAAGTTGTGGTGACCCCAACCATAAAATTATTTTCATAGCTGCTTTATATCTGCAAATTTTTCTACCCTGGTGAATTGTGACGTAAATGTCTACATTTTCCAATGGTTAGGGGACCCCTGTGAATGAGCCTTTCAATCCCTCCAAAAGGATATTTATCTGCAGGTTGAGAATGGTTGCCCTAAGTGGCCTACCCTTTATCCCCAGCTTATTCACTGAAGGGCAGCCCAAATGCTGCACATTCCATAGCCAGTTCCACCGATCCAGACTCCTTCTTGGTTGTGTGTTCCACCTCTCTTCTGCTCAGAGTGCACGGCGACCTACAACATGAGCCGCCTTCCTTCCTTTACTATTTCCTCCACTCTCAGATCCCCCAAGGAAGAGGCCAAACCACACTGTATTCTTCTCTATTCCCATTAGTGCACTTGGCCTAGAGTTGAACTATGATTTGTGAACAACGAACTGTGCCAAGAGATTTACAAATCATTTAGTATGTATATTTGCTTTCCAGGGTGAAGTGAGATCAGTGGGAAAGAGAGGGTCCAGAATGTGGCAAAAACTAATGGGTGGAGGAGTCCATGGGAGTTGGGGGTGTTAGTGAGTCCACAGTGTCAGGCCATCTGCTCCTAAAAGATTTATTGTCTTGGAAGTGGGAAGGGGGGGGCATGTAGTAAAGGTACGTATGTCCCAAGCTACTGTCACCTTTTCTGATATGAGCTACCTCTTCCTAGGTACCTGTAATCTGGTGGGAAGAGATGACCCTTGTGTTAGGAATTTTCCTAAAGCGAGCTCTCAGCCCACACAAAAATCCAATTAAGCCAAATCACAAACAAGCTAAATTAAAAAATATCCAGTTTTAATGGGATTCCTGCACTTTCGGGTGGCCCAGAGGGGAAACCAAGAACACGACCATGGGGCGGGGGTGGGGGGTGGTGGGGGGGTGTGGACGAGGGGACTTTCCAGGGAGCAGTTTAAATAGACTGGGGGAGTGGTCAAGATTTTGGCGGGCTGTCTTGACCCTCCTCCAGGGAGGGGCCTCCAAAGATAGAGGCCAGAGACCAGGACTCCCACCTTGGTGTAGCGAACTAGCACAGTGGTTTAAGGATCCAGTTTTCTCCATGAATGAGAAAGAATAAGGAGAGTTCCATAAAAGGAAAAGAAGCACATCGAATCTCAGCCCTCCTTTGCAGCTTCCTCCTCTGAAATTATCTTATATCTTTCCTCCTGAGGGAGGAAAACTGAAGGCCTAGGAGAGGTCTGGAGTCTAAGGAGTCTTTCAGAGGAGTTAATCATCCACTGGTGGTTAGAGTTTTTAACCCTAGGTCTCAAGAAGGGCCTAGAGGCCACAGACAGTTTCCTGATATTTCTTTGATATGTGTTTTATTCTTATTCCTTTTACTTATTAACCCTGAATTAGGAGGCAACTGGGCACTGAAGGAAAACAGAGGGAATCAGAACAGACCGAGCCAGGCGCAGGTCAAGATATTGCAGCGCCTCCTTGCACCATGAAATCGCAGCCTTCACGCTTTCACATGCACGCTTTCACATGCACGCTTTCACATGCATGCTGCTATTTTGTCATCGCAACTGTGCCAGGTAGACAAGTCAGAAATCAAGATGATCACTGACTCCAAGCCAAGTTCCTTCAGCTAATCCCATTAGCAGAGCTGGGGGTTGGAACTGAATCTATTCCTGACTGTATTGTCCCTGAAGGACCTAGCTCTAGACAGGGCTCCGTTCAGTGACAGGAAAGGAGTATACACGGGTTCCTGAATTGGCCTTTCATGTGCTTAGGACCTAAGGTGGTCACTCGCCAGAGAAATCCGCCCTGGGACTAGAAGAAGGAACCTTGTTGCTCTGATGAACACATGTGTCAGCCTCATAGTTGACTTTGTAGATGGCTGAGCAACGTGTCAGGAGTGAGGCCTCAGAAAGCAGGGAATGAGGGGCAGCTTTATTGGATAAGGTTGGTCCTCAGGAGTCACTAAGAAGGACCCTTCTACCTGTCACTGCTTGGGGAGGAGCAGACTCACAACATTCTATTTCCAGCTGCTGCCCAGCCTTGCACAAGCCTCTGCACCCTCAGGCTCAATTGGCTCTAATTGCCGCCTCCTCCATTCTGGGATGACAAAGAAGACTACCAGCCCTTTCCCAGGTGGCTTTTGCCCGGTTGTTATGCCAAGCAGAGATGGGAGGGGGCACACAGCTTGAACCTCTCCCACTGGGGTGACTCTTACTTATCACCTGGTCAATGTGTTCCTTACCTTGCACGGTTTTCACCTGTTCTTCATTAACCTTTAAGGAACAAGTATGGGAACGAGCGGCAAATAATTCATGACCCCACGTCAAAGTGTTCTCTCAGCTTTTCAGAGTGATCCCTATGGGCTAAAGGACCAATGCTGGCTCTTCTCTCCAGCTCCCTTTCTCTCCCTGGCCTAGGCCAAACACACCCTCCTCTGGGGTCTTACTAACCAGCCACCCGTTCCCCCTTTTTCTCCCTCCTCTCTTCCCCACCTCTCTCAGTTCTAGTCCCTCATGTTTTATCTTGCATTTTTTTTTATGTACACCAACCCCTCTGAACGCACATTGATCTCTGGCCTTTTAGCTCAGCACTGAAGATAGCCATTATTCAGGTGCAGCTCACCTTCCTCACCAGAACCCAGAGCCTGGTCAAGCCAATAACATATTTGCAAACATCTTTAAGTTCAGTGACACCTGTAGGAACAAAACATCTTCATCCCTCCCCTGCCTCTGGCCTATGAGACATGCAGGAACAAGCGTTTCTTGCATTCTCTTCTGAAGGAACCAGGAAAAAGGCAGGGCAGGACAGGGAAAGGGGAGCCACTTGTAGCCTTATTGGGACAGTTCTATAAGCAAGAACAGCAGGGTTTCTCTTACTCTCCCACCCCCTCCTTTACTTTCTCTGGAGCCCAGGAAGCAGGGAGCATGGATAATCTGCCCTCTGCTTTAACCCTTCAGTACATGGGGCATTTGCTACATCTGCAGGGCTAAGAGACTAGGAGCTCACTCAAATGCTTCTCACAGAGGGCATCACACACAGGTAGGCTCCGAAAGTTCCATCCAGAGATTGCTATGGGAGTCTTCCTCCTCTTCTTTCTCATGTCTCCTCCTCTTTCCTTTAAAGTTTGGGTTCCTACTGCTCTTTCTCTCCCTTCCTCTGCTCGCTCTTTCTCATACACATGTGTATACTTAAACACAGAAGTATTGCTAAGTAGACTAAAAAATTACCACTAGAAAAATTTCTCTTCTTTTTGTCCTTTCAGGGTTTTCCACTCTCTCTATGGTTATCTTTACTACAACCTCACCCAAAGGCAAAAGGTAAGGAAGAAAAATAAAACACGTGTGTGTCCAATAAAACTAAAAACAGGTCTATCATTCCTAGATTCAGTTATTTATTTTATAATACATGAGTATTTATTTTATAATACATGATATCAGGAACTGCACAAATTCTGAGAATACAATAGTGAATAATATGAACACTGTTTTGCCTTTGTGACATGTATCATCTACAAAGAAAAACAGATGCTAAATAAGAGTAATAAAGTGCAAATCAATAATACATAGAAGAAAATATAATGATCTAGAAACAAAATGGGTGTGTTCTAGTTTCCCTCTAAATCAGGGATTAGACACATACATAGACACATATATACAGACACACATGCACACCAGATGTCTGATCTTTAAGCAGAGGACAACATGAAAAATAATAAGGACAACACGAAAAAGGTTGAAGGAGAATGGGTAGAGAAGGTAAGGAAATCTGTAAAGTCATATCAAAAGGAAGAAGTACTATTCAGGAAATAAAAACTATTCATTTAATAAGTTATATCAGAAGGGTAAGAGATGCCCCGAGAAGCTGTCAGAGTTCAAGAGAGGAGCTGGCTTACCAAAGACCATCGCTTGAGGCAGGGGTTGCATTTGACAAACACATTTCGGATGTCATGTAGACTAGAGACTGGAGAAGACTAAGACCATGTTCAAACAGACCAGGCAGGAATATGACCCTGTCATGCACAGGTAAGATGCTGGTGGTCTGTTTTAGAAGAATGGCAACAGTTTGAAGAGGGCAAAACCAAGTTTTTCACTGCTTCTTTGTGTTTTGAAACAGGGTCTCACTATGTAGCCTGAGCTAACTTTGAGTGTATATGTCTCCTGTCTGCCACTCTCTCCTGAGTTCTGAGACTACAAGTGTACACCGTTACACCTTGGTTTTCAAGGATATTTTCCAGTGTTACAATGATATGAACTTAGTCTTCACAACACATCTCAAGAGGAAAAGAAAGAACTGCTTTTCTAATATACCATTCTTTGATATTTTAAAGAGAAATATGCTCATACAAAGGCTTAGTCACATTGAAGATATCTTTGGAAGTATACATAAGAAATTTTTATTAGGATTGAGGCAGTGTTAGAAAAATTGATTTAATTAGAATTAGTTAATTTAAAGAGAAGTAATGGACTTTCTATCCATTGGTCTTGAGAGTGCTGGGTACGAGGGTTGAAACAGTGTTAAAGATGAGCCAAGAGTGGCAACCTTGACTGTAATCCTGACACTTACCTTGATTGAGCAAACTAATAGAGTAGAAGGTTTGATGAGGAAGAAAAAGTGCTCAGTTTGGGACATATTGAACTTGCAGTGTCTATAACATACCCAAGTAAGCAAATGTAATAGTTGAACATCTAAGTAGCTCATGCCTGGAGCTCAAAAGACAAGTCAGAGTCGAAGATGGGCCCTGAAGAACCATGAACTTTTATATGGTAATCTACAGTAGTAAGTAGGACTGCCTACGTGGTGAGAAATAGTCTCCTGAACCAAAATTGTTTCAGGGAGTAGTAAAACCAAAGCACTCAGACTGGTAGGAACGTGAAGAGTGTTGAATAGTTCAGGGTTAATCCATCGAGTCCAACAAACCCTGAGATGGTTGAGTGGGTTGACCTTCAGGGAGATAACAAGAGTGGCATCAGTAGCCTGGAGGAGACCGACCAAATGACAAAGGCTTGAGCAATCAGTGGAAGTCAGTAGACAGTGGAATCAACCCTTGAGAAGTTTGACTTTGAACAGGGAGATGATAAGGCAGCTGTCCAAAGGAAAGGTGGTTTGGAAGGCGGGTTTTAAATACCACAATATCCTTCTGGCAGAGGTGTTGGTGAAGGGGAAATGAGAGATGACATCTAATAATGCAGAAGAAACTGGATCTTGAACCATTTAGAACGTGGATGGAGTTTAACTGCACATAAGATGGAGGTGCAGTGCTGTCAAAGAGAATAAAACTGAATCATTATGACATATGGCCCTGTTAAGTTGCACACCACCAAAGGTATGTGTACATTTTTGTGATAGCTCACTGTTGGCCATACAGCTTTGAAAATGTGTATTGGAATGCGCCTGCCTGAAATTTCCCAAGTCTTACTCATCTCTCTACTACTTCCAAAAGCTCTTTTGTCCAGCTTTTGGACTGAGAGGATGAGAGGAATGAGATGAGACCTAAGGGTTGGAGACAAGAGAGAGGCTACATATCAGTCTCTGTTATGGGCACTCTGGATGCTCGGCTCAGAGTTTCCCTCCAGTTAGGAATGGCCAGATCAGCATTACCGCTGCCCACTTCACAGCCCAGTGTAAAAAAGAAGGGAGAAGACTGTGGATTATGGCATCCTCAAGATCAAAATAGGAGCCTGTGTTTATAGGATCAAGGATGATAACTTGCAGAGGATCATCTAAAGGACAGGGCAGAGAAGGTCCTACAGAAGAACTGATTAGGCCATTCAAACAAAGGAAGATATGCTTCACCCCTCATGGAACACATCAGGATACAAGAGAAGCAAACACCTCAGACTCTTAGCCTCTGGGAAGAAGAATGCCGCACACTGATAGAAACTATTCCATAAATAAGAACACGAAAAGAGACCCAATATCCTTAGACTTTAGAGAATAGCAAATTGAAACTACAATGAGAGAGCATTTTACACCCACTACCAGGATTTATAGAATGCCCAAAGCCATTATGAAACACTGCATGGTAGTTTATCTAAAGAATTGAGCATGAAGTTACTGTTATCTCTTCAATTTCTAGGCATATAGACCCCACCAACACCCAATAATTAAAAACAGGGACCTCTGTTGACATGCACTCTCTTGTTTTCATAGAAGCAACATTCATAATAAGCAGAAGACAGGAAAACCCATGCATACCCTTTGACAGACAGATGAACTAAAAGAAAGTGAGGTATGCGTACATCCAGTCTTAAAAAGAAATGAAACGCTGATACCTTCGCAGAATAGAAGAAACCTTGAAACTATTATATTAACTGAAACGAGGCAAGCACAATGGAAGTGGCCTTGTAAGATCCCACTCAGATAAAGAACCTACAATAAATTCCTAGGCAGGAAGTAAAATAATGGTTATTGAGGACTAAAGAGAAGGAATGGTGGAGAGGTATTGTTTCATGGATAGGAATTTCAGTGTCTGAAGATGAAAAATATTTGTAGATGAATAGTAGTGATGCTTATACAATAGTCTGAATGTACCTTATACTGAATATAGCTAAAATGATAAATTTTATGATATATGGGTTTTTTTGACATAATAGAGAAATTAAAGGCAACAGGACAAAGAATTTTTTTTTTCTTGTAGTTTTCTACTCGGGATCTGGCTGCTAGTTGGAAGGAAAGTCTCAACGAAGGTAATGAAATAGAAAGGACTTCGGTGTCATGATGGTTCTTTTCACATTGAGTTTTGTGGAAACAAGCAAGTCTAATGACTTACTTGTTTCTGTCTTCTGTTCAAGGCATAAGAAAGATTGTCCAGATGTCAATCAAAGATGTCAATGTCCCCATCTCATGTCCTCAGCTGCCAGTTTCTCAAGATATGAGCTTTCGAGGAACCCATAAAGTATATGCAACAATTGATGCCCACTGCCCATCTCTACAAATGCTGAGATGTGAAGGGTTATATATTGTCCCTTAAAGAATAATCTATATATACCCTCTCACAATTCACAACCATATATGTCTGATTCTTGAAACAGCTCTCTCCCTTTTTCTGTCCTTCCTCCTCCCCACCCTCTCTCCCTTTCCACACCTTGACCCACATAGGGTTACATCTAAAGTAACAGGGTACTCTTTAGAAATGGTAGATCTCCTCTCCATCCCCCTCACCAAGGTCTAGTCCAAGATTCAAATGTCCCAGAGATTTCCGACGGAGAATTTCCCAGCCACGGTGGCTACTGCTGCTCAGGGATGTAGTCCTGGAAAGAGGAGGTGTTTGGAGGACCACAGAGCCTCTAGCTAAAGTACCAATCTCAGTCCCAGAAGGCTGCTTCTCAGATAGCTGTTCCTGCACTTCCTCCTTGTCTGAAGATTTGAAAGCTTCCACATAACGAAGTACTCGATAAGGATTCTGGTCATGGTGAGACTCAACCCTGTGAGGAAACAGAAAGGACTCATGGGCGGTGGGGAAGGTGGGTCATAGAGAGAAGCAGAGGTGAATGTGGAAGAGAGGAGATACCAGGAAGTAAAAGGAGGGGCAGAACAGAAGCAAGGAGAACATCTAGGCCGGAGGGGAATGGGGTGAAAGCCAACCTGAGAATGAGGGGAGAGAAGTAAGGAATTCATCTCTGGAGAGTAATGGAAGACAGGCTGTGCTGTATGTGGTAACAAGACAGAGGAAAAAAACTTAGAGATCTGAGTGTCATGAGGTTTACAGTATCCAGGTCAAGGGGTACCAGTGAGAGGAGAGGAGACCCAGGTTAGGAGAAAAGGGGTTGTATATGGAGAAAGAAGCTAGAGTCAAGGCCACAGTATATTGAAAATGAGAGAAAATGATGTACTGAGTAAACACAAGCAAAACAAATGGACAGCCCATACCCACACCTGAGCATTTACATGTCTGTGCGCACACCGTTTCACACATCACTGCCCTGTAGTAAACACCAGCTGGCTCTTGTTTTCTAACCCCTTCACCCCCCACCCAACACTTCACTTCTCTCTCTCCCAACAACAGACTAATGCAATCCTATGACATTTCCTGGTGGCTCGCCATCTCAGAGAATCCACCTGCAAGTTTCAGACACACACACACACACTGTCACTCACCGTAGGAACCAGCGTTCTCCAAGCCCATACTCGCAACCGCAGATACCAGATCGAGGCCACAGGAAGCGAGGCATTTTCCTCTCCAGCATCACTGTGGTGGCCACAACCTGGAAGGAGATGAGGTAGCAAAAATGTCTCAGAAAAAGGCACAAGAGACAGAGAGGCAGCAAAACCACCAAAAAAAGGAAACAAAAACTAATTTGCTCAAAGAAGACCCTGGAGGCCAGTGGTAAGGGCTACAGTTCATCCATATCTAAGCTTGTCTCAGAACCATGCTAACCTGGCTGTCTCATCAAACCAGGACAGAAGATATTTTTTAAATAGAACAATGAGTTCAATACTATTATTCATATTCAGAGAAGGTGAGTCATTCAAAACTAATGTGACTTCCTTCTCACCTTTCATAGGAAAACTACAGACCAGGGACATTGACTTAAATGACTAAATAGAAGCTGTATGATGTCAGAAATGAAACAAGGAGGCTCCAGTTCAGAGACTTGCTAACAAATTAAAAATCCATATCTTAAAAAGGAAAACGTTTGATTAATGTCTGTGTTCTTGGCAAGCAAGTTCCTAGTAGTATGTCCCATAATCTGTCCTTTGTCCTGCCCTAATTAGCTAGCTAGATGAAACAGGCACCAGGCTTATCAAATGTGCCTGTGACGCAAAGCTGGGAGGGATATGCACTACGTGGAGTGACAAAAGCAATAGAGAATGATTTCACCAAACCTGAATGCTATTCTAAAGTCAACAACACAAAAAATTAACAGAACAAGATGCCAAGGGTTTCCCTTATACCGAAGTAGTTGAACTCAGTCATGTAACAAAAATTCAAGGGTTGTAGCTGATTGTGAACTTAGTGTAGCCAATTGTACAACCAATTGGGAAACTGATTCCATTTTGCAGTTATTGACAGTAAATAGTGTCTCTTCCATAATAAGAACTGCTCTACCTTTATCGGGGTTGGCAACAGGAGATTATTGATGCGAGGAGCTATCAATCCCTAGAATAGCCAGCTCTCTGTGGTATGTCTTTCTGCTCTCCTTCATCACCTTCTCTTGATCCCTGAGTTGTACTGGGTTCTCTCCCACCTTCTTTGTAATCATTTTGTTCTCCTCTAGGTAGCTATTCTTCTTTCCTCTGAAATGAATGCTCGAGCTTCTTCTTTATTTACCCTTCCCTTGACTTTTTTTACTCTTGCAACAGGGTGTATCTTTTTCATCTAGAGTATGAGCTAATCACTTTCAGATAACTAGGCAGAGTAGATGGGGCTGCACAGTTAGTTGGTTCTTCCTAACAGACTAAAGAAAAGGGGACCTCACCTTCTTCCTTCCACTACTGCCTCCACTATCCAGCACTAGACCTTGTCTTAAGTTCAAAAATAAGCCTTTTACTAATCCTTGTTGCAATCCCATGGAAATCAGAATGGATTGTCTGTGGTCAAGTATGTTTTTCATTTTATCTTTTGAAGTGTTGAGAACTCAACCCCCAGCCTTGGACATGCTAGATGTGATGGTTTGAATGTAACTAGCCTCTATAAGTTCATAAGGAGTGACTTTATTAGGAGATATGGCCTTGCTGGAGTGGATGTGGCCTTGTTGGAAGAAGTATGTCATTGTGTGGGACTTCTTGGTTTCCTTTGCTCAAGCTTCACTTAGTTAGACATTCAGATCACTTCCTGTTGCCTGTAGGTCAAGATGAAGGACTGTCAGTTCCTTCCCAGCACCATGTCTGCCTGCACACCACCATGCCACACCCTGATGAAACTTGACTAAACCACTGAAATCATAAGTCACCCCATTGAAATGCTTTTCCTTTATAAGAGTTGCCGCGGTCATGATGTCTCTTCATAGCAATAGAGACCCTAACTAAAATACTGGGCAAGCAAAGTCACTACCCAGCTACATCTCCAGCCAAAGACTTTCTTTTAAAGCCTGCACTGTTGTACAATGTCAAAGAGTCAGTGGATGCAATTTGAATGGGACCTTTAAGAAGTTTGTACCCAACCCCATTCCCTCAGGTGCTTCAACTTCTTAGAAGCTGTCAACATGGTGTGATTTATCCTAGAAAAGAGAGTCAGGCTGAATGGATAGAACAGAAAAATGATGGTTTGTGTAAGGTAGAAACTGAATTTTAGACATATGTCCAAATCTAGTTTCGTATTTTAAACTTCCCAGTTATGAGGATCAGCTCATCCATCGCCAGTTCTTTAAAAAAATCTGGTTTGAGTTTGGTTTATTTCTCTTTGTGGTCATGCTCTCTAATTGATATAAGCCCTGACTTGTACCCTTTCTACTATTCTCAGCTAGCTAGTTCTACCCACATTTACTGTCCGTCTTAAATATTTCTCCCCAATACAAGCATTTCTTAACATTCTGCTTCAATTTCTCAGTTGCATCTCTTCTTAGCCTGATGTACTTCTCTGCAGCAATTTTACTTCTTTGAGTTTTCTGCTGCCCGCCCGTGAAGTGATTTACTTAGTGTCGTCTGTTCCATAGCTTGGCACTTCAGTTGGAGGACCTATTATGTCTGTGATGCCTGTGCATGTGTGCCAGCTCCTAGACACTTCCCTACATATAACAGGCTTTTCAGGACTATTGCTACATACCAACCATGCAATTATGTGAAGGGTAAACATTGGTTCTATTCAAATATTTATATAGTACTTATGTGGAAAGATATGTGCTCTCTAATACACAGGAGGAAACAGTCTGAAGTTGAAGAGTGGAGTAATAGCAACAAGGGTTTTAGTTCACCATAATATGGATGCTTCTAATAATAAACTTTTCACAATATGAAAAACTCCTTTTCTGTGAAACCTTACTCAAATATACAAAATAATAAGGTCATGATTAGACTAAAGAATATACTGACTGCATTCTCACATTGATATGTAATTATATGGAGGAGCAGCTCAATTACTTAGTGATCTTTGGAACACATAGCTTCTAACTCTGGTATTTGATTAGCTTATTGTGCTACAAAGAAAAGATAAAATAGGGATTTGGGGATTTATAGACTCTAATAGAAGAGGAGGTCTAAATTTAATAACTGCATTATATTAAAACAAAACAAAATATTCTTGCTCTCTGTGGATTCAAAGACTTCTGAATCCACTTTTTACCTGTAATAAATAGACCAACTCAATGATTATATCCTCCATTCTATCATTCTTCTGTCCCCTCCATCCTTCTACAGGTACTTCAGGGTTATACAAATGGAATGGAAATGATAGCCTTCTGGGGCTGTTCTGGGACTCCACTAAGAGTGGTTCACAATAAACACCTCTTACTGCAATGTTTCACTCCCGTTCCTGCCCCTTTGTGAGACCAACAGCAGTAGACTCACCTGTGCCCTCCAGAGTTCATCCCTTTCCTGGGCCACTCGCCAATGGGTGTCACCCATCATGGCAATGAACAAGTTGAGCATGAGCAGTGTGGCGATGATGGCGAAAGCAGAATAGGTGAAGCTGTACGTGAAGGGTAGATCCACACTGTAATTGGCAGGGCCATCAATGATAGTGAGGAAGAGCTCAAAGGTGCTTAAAAGTGATGTGGGGTAGTTGGAGAATTCCCCCAGGTTGTCTGGATCCTCTGTCTGGAAAATGATATAGAAGGCTGCTCCGCCCAGGAAGAGGCAGGTGGGGAAGGAAATTGTCACAATGAGTATGGACTTGGTTCCCATTAGTTCTGCTTCATATATATATGTGTGTGTATATATATACATATATATATATATATCCATCAGTTTACACACAAGTACATACCACTATGCATCCACAATACAGTTACCTTAGAACTGTTAAACTTAAGACTCTTGACTAAATTCACTGTTCTGGGTCATGATAACATTCAACCATTCATCAAAAAAAATTGTATGTGTACATATGTGCATAAATTGCCTAGCAGATTATTATCTTTTGGAAAACCAAATATTTAAAAGGTAAGTTATTACAAGAATGTATTGAATCTCCAATAATATCAAAGAACAGATCATGTGATAAGGCTAAAGGGAGAGCTCTTTTTAGGCTCTTTTGACTTCCAAACAGCCACCCATTTCTCTGAGATTTGCTAGGTGAGCTTTGACCATCATGGAGAAGCTGTCTCATTGATGTGCAGCCTACCTCATGGCAGCCAGTTCTGGGTCCTTACAACACCCTGAGGTCCTTTAAATGGCGTCTTTTCTGAATGGGATACAGAAGTGTGTGGCAAGGTGATTCCAAGAGCATATAAAAGAGTCTGTATGAAATATTTGCTTTTTTCAGAAAAACTACAAGTGCAGAATGACCATTTGGAGGAACAGAGGTATAGGGCATCCTTAGGAATCAACTGCTGTTCTAATCGCAGTCTACCTATGGGTAAGGAAATTTGGGGTACGGACAAGGAAGAAAACTTACACCAGGCCTCACAGGATATAATACGCTATAGAATACTCTATACAGATAAATCCTTTCACACTTAAGTTAGGTGTGTGTGTGCGCACGTGTGTGTGTATGTCTATTCATTCTCTTATCTATCATTTTGTGGACAACCTCATTGAACAGAGCATTCTCTAGCGATAGTGATAGGGTTCTGTAGCGATGAGGGGGCATGGTTCTTCAGAGATCATTTTTCCTGTGCACCCTCTTCTCATGGGTAACCAGTTAGAGACACAGAAGTCTGAGTCAGAATTGCAAGTTTTTCATGAAACAAACCTGGGCCTTCTTCCTGTGAATATGAACTTTCTTGTGCCTGCCAATGCTCCCTCTATTCTCTCTGGTGGCTTTTTCTTTCTTTCTGCACCTCCTCTGCTTGTTAGTACTCCCTACTGAACCTGTACGTCCTCATTCTCTCAGCCTCTCATCACAGCTCTTTTCTGTCTCCATTCTCTTCCATGTCTCAGGCTCTCCAAACTCTTATTATATACTTTCTTTTTACAATCCTTTCCTTTTCTTCATATATATTTTTAGGATTTTATTTGACTGAGAATCCCAGGTTACATTCCATCAGTGTGGGGAAGCCAAGGCAGGAACTCGAAACAGCTGCTCACATCACATCCAGTCAAGAGCAGAGAGAAACAAATGCATGTGTGTGTCTGCTCAGCTTCACTCCTTTCCTTCATCCCTTATATGACTACATAAAGAAGGAGGGAACTTTCTGTTTTATAGCATGACTTTTATCTCTTCTCCTGCACTATAAATATAGCAAAGTTCAATGTGACATTGCTCATATTTCCCTGATAATATTTAAAATAGCTACAACTCTTCAGTGTCCGATGTCCTTCCAATAGTCTTTGAAGGGGCTTGTGGCTCAGTTAGCTGACTTGAATCTTGATGGCTCAGAACGTATGAGTCCACCTTCCAGGCCAACCAACCTGGGTGGTCCCTTTCAATAGACAAAGGTATGTTTTTAGACCCACTCCAATAGGAAGCAATGGCAACGAAGCCAAGTGACAGTGAAACTGAGAAGATCTGCATCTCACAGTCTGGAAGCAGTGCTCTTACCTGAGGCAAATCCTACGATGACCATCGCCATCAGCCAGCAGAAGCGCAGTAGGTCTCCAAAAATCATCTACAGGAAGCAAAGAAGAAAGTTGGAGAGACTCTCTCTCCATGCCTCTGAGCAGCTGTTGCCAGCAGACCTGGGTGTCCCGGTGCTGCCTCCAGCTAGGCTCTGAGCAGCATTTCTCTTTGCAGCTTTCCCCACCCTTCCACCTGTGAACGAAGGTCCTGTATCCTAATCAGAGCGAGGTTTAGTAAAGCACTGACCTTCTGAATCATAATTGTGAAGGGGCCCAGCATCTGGAATCCACGGGCAAAGTACATGACATTACACCAGCCCAGCACCAGGGCAATGGATATGGGCACCACCTCCCCATTCATACTGGTCAGCCTCATCACCATGGTCACCAGCACAAGGGAGGCATAGGTAATGCTGCAGTAAGAACAGAAATCAAAAAGTGAGGTATGAGCTGGGAATAGTTTGAATCTACTGCAACATGATGGTGACTTAGCTAGCACCTACACATTCATTAAGCTAAGTCTTAACAGCTAAAACATAAATCCAAAGATGCAAATTCACTGGGCAGGAATCTCTGATATATAGACCTCAGAAAGTGAACTGGAGACCTGGAAGATTCTAGTAAGTGGAGGTAGGGTCTGAAAAAAGAAGAAGACACTCACAAGATGACATGGAATGGCCCCCCGAGAATTGTCTGTCCAAAGTAGTGAGAGGCGCCGACTCTGACAATGTCTGGGATCTAGGGAAAGATGATAAAGCAAAAAGAAAATACAGAATGAAATTCAACATGGGACCTAGGTGGATTGCTTTTATCTCAGACTCCCCAGATACTCACCTCTAGAAGCAGAATAACCACAGCCCCAGTGACTGTCACCAGCTCCCCGACCAGCCGGATATTATCTTGGTAAGTCACATATGCTTCCTATGGAAGGTAATCAGGACAAGAAATATTTCCTAACGTAAAGAGTTGTAACCTTTGGCCTACTATCTAAAGCTATCAAGATGTGACCGAGAAAAGGAAGAGCTCTTTCTATCACTATCACCTTCACCCTATTGTAACTTCCACTCTAATTTTGTGACCAGGACATGAGATTGCATATCCAAGATTTTCTTATACTGTTATATGCTAATGACTAGGTTTATTCCATGGCAATGCTTCCTCCTTTATATGTGTTGTGAGTTATGATTTGGAAATCATAATGCATCGAGCAGCTAAGAGAACCTTTCAAATCACCAAAATGACCAAATGGAGTACTGGGCATGGTGGTAAATACTTGCAGTTTCAGCATTCAAGAGACCGAGATAGAACAACAGAACATGAAGGCAAGGCCAGCTTGGGCTGTATAGTGAAACCTTGTCTAATGACAAAATTAAAACAGACAAAACAACAAAGCATGCCAAGTGAGTAAGTGAGCATAGAAGATAGGGATGATGGCTTCTGCCGTGGAAAGAATCCAATTGCTCCAACTTCACTGTGGCTCACACCCACTTTCAAGACATCATAAGCTTATCTCCGAATTCAGGGGCCATTATGGGTCCCAAACTTGATAAATCTAACGAGGCCTTGCAACAGTGAAGATGTTTGAACTCATGGCTTCTCATCTGGAAGATGGAAACTCTACTGCTTTACCTCCTGCAGATAATGTGAAGGTCACATAGGTGGAGTGCATTTGGAGTATACTTTAAACCATAAAAAGCCCTAGAAATATTTATTGTAGTTTCACTGATTTGGTAATACAGAATAGAATAGAAATAGGGCTACATATGGATTTTAGTTTTTTGGAAAGGCCCTGATTATCCTGAGAAGTCAAGGTGTTTCTGGGGTCAAGGTGGGATGAAGGCCATCCTATTTCAATGACCTGCCGATTTGATGATGAATTGCTTCATCTATGACCCTTACCTACTGAGAAGTCATGACCTCACTCAAGAATACAAGGAAGTTTTTGGACTGCTTTTTGGGGAAAAAGTCATATATAGACAAGAATATATACCCTTTCATATATATATATATAAAGTATATATTGTATATATATGTATATATATATATATATATTCCAACATAGAATTAAATATCTAAGTCCAGCAAATTAGAGCACCTCTGGGGCTGTTCCAGAGTTCATTTCTTGCTGGTTATTTGTTTTCTTTATTTTATCCTCAGTCCTTGCAGCTCTATGAGCTCTCTTCCTTCTCCACTGAAATTCAGTTCACAGACTGTGTCCTTTTATTATTGATCGCCTCGATCATAGCTATCTTTCTGTAAAGCATGCCAAATCATTTTTAGACGGTGTAGGTAAGTGGAAAAATAAATAGTAAACACATTAACTTTAAAAATAACTTTAAATGCAGAAATTAGACAAGTGAATCTGATTTTGCACAAAATTGTCAAATGTCTTTTTAAAACTTTATATCTTGGTGAATGACTCAAAATCAGGGGTTCTCATTCTTTTTAATGCTATGACCTTTAATACAATGCTTCACATTGTGGGGACCCCCAACCATAAAATTATTTTTGTTGCTACTTCATAACTGTAACTTTGCTACTACTATGAATTGAAATGTAAATATCTGATATGCAGGATGTACCATGGTCTTATGTGATCCCTGCGAAAGGGTCATTTGATCCCCTCAAAGGGGTTGTGACCCACAGTTTCAGAACTACTGTTCCAGAAAATACCATCAACCTTTTTTTGTTTCAGTTAAGAAGAGAAACTGAGCAGTCTGGTAGTAAAAGTTTGTAATCCCAGCAGCCCAGATCTTGAGGTAGAAAGATTGTGAGTTAAAGGCCAAATCCCAGCAACTGAGAGGTGGATTCAAGAGAGCCAAGAGTTCAAGCCTATTTTTTGACCATGTAACTGACATATTTGAGTCCGACCTGGACAAAGGTAGACCTTGTTTGGAAAGGAGGGAGCAGAAGATAGAAGATGGCATAGAAAACTCTGTGAAGATCAGAGTGCCCCTAGAGGCCAGGGAAGCAATGACAGCACCTATGCTTTAGATAAAAAATAGGGAACTTGTAGGCAAACCATAACCAATCTCTCTTGCTAGGCTCCCCACCCAACTCCATCAGCCCTTCTCTTCCTGTTCTGCAGATTCCTTTACATGGAGGTGTTACCCCGCACAAATCCACCAGTCAGACAGGCATTCAGAAACTGTACGCTTTTGCTCGAGTATTTTGATGCATGTATTATATGTGGCCCCTCCCTTAAATCAGGCTGTGGAGTATGGGGTCTTCTGTGAGCTCACTTCTTTCTGTTCTTCAATACCAGTAAACAAAAAAGTGGGTTTTTTGTCTTAAAAAAAAACTATTTTCTGTGTGTGTGTGTGTGTGTGTGCGCGTGCGTGCTTGTGTGTGAAATGTGTCATAGTAATAACTGTTTCAGGCACTTAAAGCATTGGCCTTTGATTGTAGTGTTTCATACTGACAAATTTCTTTTTGTTTAGAATAGTTATTGTTACAGCGTTAAGAAAATGGGTCGTGTTTTAAAGATGCAGAGACCTTGGATTTCATTGACACATCCTTGCTGTCTCAGGAAGATACTGCCCCTCTTAATCAACTATCCTAAGCTTCCCTAGAACTAAGCCTAAACAAATAATGAATTTACCTTTTTAAGCTTTAGAATTTTATTCTTTAGGAATTGTTCTCAAGACATTGTGCTTAAATAGAACAGTTTAATTCACAGTTCTTTAGATGTGTTGTTCTTCAAGGAAAGGTTTGGAGATCAAGGTCGTGTATAGTAAACCGTGTTTAAGTTAGCACAGCCACTCAGTCTCAACGCCTGTTCATTGCACCGCTGCCTTCTTTCAATGCTTCCTTTTCTTTCATTTCATGGGACCTAATGCCTTCAGGCAAACACACTGCTGTCTATCATTGTCTACCTTGCATCTCTCTATTCCACTCCCCTTCAAGTTTCAAGATTCATCTTTTGGAAATGTGAACATTATCACGTGACTTCTGTTTCATGCCTTTCCTAGCTGTCCAGTGCCTTTAGGATAAAAGCACAGATAGACTAAGAGAGTGTTCCCTAAATACTTATCCGAGTAGAAAGTTGCTACATAGTGTCTGGACAGGATTAACATACTGAGTTAAAAGCAGGGGCTCCTCTGAGAAAGGGTAAAACCTGGTTGATACCCCGAGATGAGACATGAAGGGGGAAGACCCAGAGCTATAGGCCAGGAAGCAACTGATGTTTTGTTTGATTTGATTTTTTTTGTTTGTTTTGGTTTTTGTTTTTCCTGAGACAAGGTCTTATTATGGTAACCCTTGGCTGGTCTGGAACACATTGTGTAGACCAGTTTAGCCTCAAGTTAGCGGTGGCCCTTCTGCCTCTACCCACTGAACACTAGAATTCCAGGTGTGTGTCATCACATACAGCACTGTCCTTTGATTTTTGAAATTGTGTGTATTTGTGCTTTTAATCAAAATTCATTGTAAGGAAAGAATCAAATATAAAACCTAGATTTACTAACGTGGTTTACAAACTCACTGTTCTATCCTCGGTCTTGTGTTCTTATGCTGTGTGTGGACTGAAGATAGACCAATGGGATCCTGATAACCAGGTCTTAAAGCACGATGTACTTTTTTCTTAAGAAACCTCTGACACCACATCTGTCTAGTACACCATTCCTCATGCTTCAGGATTCAGGTCAGGGCAACATTCGTCTGGGTTCTCCTTTAATGCCCTTCTGCAGCTAGCTCAGATGTGCCCCCTGTGGGCAACTGGTGTTGCTCTGATTCATAGGCTGCATCTTGAACACTGAAGTGTTGTGTGCTCATATCTCTTTGAGTGCCCTGAGGATATTAACATTTCACTCCTATTTTTTTATCCAGGGTTTACAGCAGTGTGGGAAAGTATTCATTCAGCAAGAAAGCCAAGAAGGAAGGGGGCCTGCAGAAACATCAGAGAGACAGCTTTCCCTGAAAGCTGCAGACTGAAGAGGGAAATAAATCAGTAAGTGGGGATGGAGAAATCTATTTGGAAGTAAAGCAATTGAAAAGATGGCACCTGACTGAGTTCTTCTGAGACTACCAGCATCCTTGGTCAAGGTCACCTGAAACCTAAAAGACACTCCATTCTACTCCGCTGAAAGGAAGTATTTCCTACAAATAACCAGAATTTTCGTCATGGCCACATGGCTTCAAATTTTAAGAATTGTTAACAGACCGGAATTTTAGGAGTTGTCATAACTTGGAATTTAATTGTTATCCATAACCAGATCCCTGGTCACTCGCATCTCATTGACCAGCTTGTCCTAATGAGTGACTGTCACAGGTAAAACACTCAGGCAAGGGTACAGCAGAGCATGAAGCAGCAGTGAGGTAAAAGCATTGTGTGCACACTGTGTGGGGAAAGGTGAGCAGTACTGCCTGTCCCAGAGCACAAAAAAATCCTATCTCAAGCTTTGGATTCCTCCCCACCTCCCCCCAGATCAGACCTGCAAAGGGTCCCACTGACAATTGGTGGAGGATTGCTCTGATTTTCTGAATTGAACAGAGAGCTTCCTGAACAGGATGGTCAAATGTTTATAGGCAAGTGTTTACCACAACCCAAAGGCAAAGCAGGATCGCAGGAGAGTTTAGGTCCCCACATTGTTTTTCTTTAAGAAGACCTACAGGTTTTCATTGTTTGTATTCTGTATACTATATCTAGTGGTAAGGACTGCTGGCCTCAGGAGAGCATGACCCTGTTCCCCAGGAAATGTCATCCTCTCAGTTTATGACCCTGCCTAAGGAAGGTTGATTGGGAAATTTTTTCTCTTCTAGGAAGTCATTAAGTAACAGCGACCACTCCTTTGTTAGTTTTCCTCCTAAGGTTTGGCCCCCCACCTTCACGGTTTTGTTTCACTTTGTTCTGATATGCTTAGCTTTTTCATTTGACACAGAATCTCACTATATAGCCCAGTCTGACCCAGAACTCACAATCT